AGTGTGAAGGATTGCTGTCGAGTCAATGATGCAATCAGCTGGTTTTCCTTAGATATTAAACTTTGACTCAATTAGATTGAAGACTCTGCCTTGACATGAAATGTGCTGTAAATGGGAGCTATACAAATAAAAACTAAAATAAAACTAAATAACTAATAAAACAAAATAAAAATAAAAACTTGTCATTTTTTCCATGTGAAAATTCTTTTGGAAGCATTTGTTTTCACCTTTAGAAAGAAAGACTTGACATGAATTTTATACTCACTGGCGAAACCATGGTGATCTCTGACTTTAACTATGATGGTTGTGCCATTTCCTTCAACCTCAGTTAGAATGGGTACCTCTACAGACACCTTGCAGGTGTATCTCCCTGAATCTCTGCTTGTAAAATTTCTTAAGATCAGAAAAGAACAGGCATGCGTCCGCTCATTCTGGGAGATTCCAATGACGGTCCTTTGCTCTATCAGTGTTTGGTTTTTCATCCATTTGACACCCACTCGTTGAGCCTTTCCCGTCCAGCAGCAGGAAATTCTTCCATTCTCTCCTTCTTGGACTAAAACATCAGGACTCTGAGTGACAACAAGAGTTTCTGGAGAGACATCATGGAACCGTGTTAGATCATACAACACACCCATTGCACGACTTTAGGACAGAATGTAGAAACTGTTGCTGCTTTTGGACTCTTTGGTAGAACATCCACGAACCTTGGCCCTGACAGTGTATCAGTTAAATTTTTTAGTTAATATAGAATTAAATTTGTAGGTAAGAGAAAATATGGTGTGGTGGTTTTCCTGCAGCCTGCCTGTTTGATCTTTCTGGATAGTTGGATGCTTCCCACTCTCTGCTTCACTCCACCCTGTTAAATACTGTTAATTAACAGGGTGGAGGTCTGTTAGTCACTGTCATTTCTCCCAGCTGTTATCATACCTATTAATAACTGCCTCTCTGTGTCAATTGTTGCCATTGTGCCGCCTTTCCTGCATTACATTTGTTCCAGTTTCTGTTAGCACCTCTCGCCTTTAAAAGTTACTGTGCTCACCCTGTTATCACTGGATACTCAATGACTTCTGACTCTTGTAATGTCTTAGACTGCCTCTGTCGGTCACCTGTCTGTTCTACCTGCCTCCCGCCTGCTCAAAGCCAATCGTCAGCCTTTTCAGACATTATCCGCTTGCCCCAAGCCTGGCACCAGCCTTTTGGCCATCATCTGCCTCAAGCCTATTCAGCCATCGCCTTCCTGCTCAAAGCCTGCAACCAGTCTGTCAGCCATCTTCTGCCTTAACCCTGTTCTACAGTAATCCACCTTGTTAAAGTCTGCTATCAGCCAGTTCAGCCTTTTACCAGCTTGCTTTTTCCTTCATCTGCTTACTCAACCCTGCTGCCCTCATGTTCAGCCAGTCACCAGTTCAGCATCGCAGAATTTCAATATACGTTTAAGCTGAAGATCCTTTCTGGCTGAT